TTTCATGTATTCTATACTGTTGGAGGGGTTTATTAGTGCTAGTTTTGTGATTGGTCTCTGCCTCACAGAGATTCATGTCCCTGCAAGTTTTCTGTGCTCTCATTGCGGCGGATTTCTCCCGACGGATCCCCCGGTCCCCACCGACGGATCACTCTTTTCTCTACTTCCCAGGGGTAACGCTCACCCCCACCGCCCACCCCCTACCTCACAGCTTCACACTCGCACGCAGTTTAGCCAGCATTCACGGGTATTTTCTCCCGGCGCCTTTGGTGGCCATTTTGGATCTCGCGTCTCGCCATTTTAGGTATTCCTCGAGCTCCGTACAGACGGCGCTCGGATCCTGCACCTTACCAGGCATCTCCTTCATAAAAAAGGGATTAATGCAGGGGTCACCAGGTCAGTAAGCCTACAGTCTGTATTTAAAGGCACTATAGGGCTTAATGCCCTGTGCATTTAGGGTGAGGCCCCTAATTTTATTGCTGCTTCTGAGGTGTGAGTGATACATCCTCTATATACCTGGGTGAGGCCCAGTGACAAAAATCCCAATAATACCCTGCTGGGGTAGCAGGTACTGCTGGTACCACGTGCATATATATAAAATATTCATTAACACCCTGCTGGGGTATTTAGTACCGCTGGTACCGTTGCACTAATTTATTATACATCCTGCTGGGGTTATACTGGCTGACCCCTAGCCCAACCTGAGCCCTGTGCCAAGTTTACTATATTGTGGTCATTATATCAAACTATGGATACATCCCAGAACCCCGCAGATTTCCAAACTATGATTAGTGAGGCTATTGCCGCATCAATGGAGAAGGCACTCTCCAGGGTTATGACGGCGTCTGCCGAGCAGCACAAAAACTGAGCAGTACATAACACAAGGACTATGATTCCGAGGCTTCAGAATCACACACACAAGCTGACACTCGGTCTACTAAACGCCACTGGAAGGGCGAAAAGAGGAACGACAACCCTGACAAGGGCAAGGCCCCAGCCAAAACAACGCAAGCCGGTCCCATCTGCCCCTACCCCACGACACCGCTACTCCTCAGACGAGGAGGGAGAACACTCACCCTCCATGGCGATATTAGACTCATGGCAGGCCGTGGATTCCGATTCTCAAGAGGATGCCTGGGGCTCGGATGACGGTTCACATACTGGCTTCCTGCAGGGCACCTTCCTGGATGACATACAACTGTCGGACGATCTGGTACCAACCCTGGAAGAGGGGTAAACCATCCTGGACCCCTCGGGCCAACGTCTTTTCGACCCATGAAACATTCGACATCCGTGCTCAATTTATGCACCTCGCCCTTCACTACCCGACCATGTGGCACAGACACCGAAGTTCGACCAGGTCATGACCACCTTTATGTCTAGGCGTGGTCGCGACCCCTGGAGAGGGGTGGAGAAGGGGTTCCATGGCGTACAGGACAAGCTATTGGACTCCATCGGCCCACTTTCCCGCATCATGTATCTGGCGAATGACGCCCTCACGCGAGCTGACCAGTTCGATACCAACATGGTACGTGAATGGGCGCACGATATTAGAGAATGGGCGCAAAGATGTTTTTGTTTTGTTGGCAATGCCAACGTGGCCCTCTCCTCTGAGAGGAGAAAAGCAGCATTACTCCGCTTAGACGGGAAACTGGTGGAATTGGGCACCAAAGAATTAGGACCACTAGCACAGGGCAAACTGTTTGGGGATGCCTTTTTGAAAGACCTGAACAGACACGTGAATGTGTTCACGTCCCTTAATAAAGCTCAGACCTCTATGAAATGGGTCTTCAGGAGCAACCCCAATCGGGTGTTTTTGGACGGGCTGGCCGCCACAGGGGCTGTGCAGCCAGCTGCTTCTGGCCATCGGGCCCCCGCTCACAAAGATCTCAACCATTCTACCCGGAGGTGGGCTACAGGCAGCCTTTCTCCTACACCAGAGGAGCCGACAGAGGTTGTGGATCACGGGCCCGTGGCAAAGCACGCTTCACCCCTGCAGGTAAGTCAATATTTGCCTCATGTACAACTTACCTCACAAACAGCAGGTCGTATTGCTCTATATTTTCGGAACTGGACGACCATCTCAACAGACGCATGGATCCTCCAGACGGTACACGGCTACGTCATAGACTTCGTGGACCTTCCAATCCAAGCAGTTCCTACACGCCCCATGAACTGCTCCGCAGAAGACGTCCAACTCATCGGGAACAAGTTGCGAGAGCTCCAGTCAAAAGGGGCGATAGAACCCGCTCACAACCAAGGGGGCTTTTTCAGCAATATTTTCCTGGTTAAAAAAAAACCGTGGAATTCCGACCAGTCATAACTTTAAGGAGGCTCAACGTCTATGTTACGTACAGGCACTTCAAGATGGAAGGCATACATCTCCTGAGAGACCTCCTCCAAGACGGAGACTGGTTCACAAGACTGGACCTCAAGGACGCGTACTTGTCAGTACCCGTCCACATTACCTGCCGTCATTCCTCAGATTCCAGTGGCAAGGCCTACCCTTGCAATTCACGTGCCTTCCATTCGGCCTCAGCTCACCCCCGTGGTGCTTCACCAAGTTACTTAAGCCAGTAGTCGCAGATCTACGAGCACGAGGAATTATTTACCTGGACGACCTGCTTCTGTTTTGCTCCGACAAGTCCAGACTGACTCAACACACACGTTTTACCATAGATTTCCTGACGTCACTAGGTTTCATGGTGAACTTCCTAAAGTCGGAGATATCCCCAGCTCAGACGGTGCAGTTCTTGGGCTTTGAGATAGACTCCAAGTCTAGCACACTATGACTGCCGACATCAAAGATCGCGGCAATCAAAAAGGACTACGCAGAGTAATTAGCTGCCGTTCCATTCCACTCCGCAGTCTGGCTCGGATTGTAGGACTTTTATCTGCGTCCATCCAGGTCATATTCCCAGGACCACTCCACTATAGAGCAATGCAACGCCTGAAGACCTCCTTTCTCCACCGGAACCCTTCCTACGATCAAATGATCGCGATAATGGAAGAGGTCAAGGAGGAACTTGGATGGTGGCTGGACAGCATGGAGGCATGGAACGGCCGGGCCATCTTCGGGAGCTCGCCCGACATAGTTCTGGAATCGGACGCCAGCCTTTGGAGGTGCCTGGACCTCTCAAGAAATCGACCTGCACATAAATTGTCTGGAACTCATTGCGGGCTCATTTGCGATCCGCAGCCTAGCAAGGGACAGATCGAACTGCTGCATTCTCATCCGGATGGACAACGTCTCCGCGGTTCGCTACATCCACCGCTTGGGCGGAGCCCGGTCCCGGCTCCTATCCGAAATAACAAAAGAGATCTTCGACTTCTGCCTACCCCGCAATATCTCCCTCAAGGCAGAATATCTCCCGGGAGAAACTAACCTGACACCAGACTGGTTCTCACGTCACTGGCGGGACAGCAGCGATTGGAAACTGGACCCACAGGTCTTCCAATGCCTCTCAGTCAGGAGAGGTCCCTTCCATCTGGATCTGTTTGCATCTCGCAACAACAGACAGACACACAACTACTTCAGATGGCTTCCGGACCCGGAGAGCATGGCAGTGGACGCATTTCTCCAGCCACGGTCAACCAAGGGAGCATACGCTTTTCCCCCATTCGCCATGATAACGAGGATGATTCAGTACCTGAAGAATCAACGCGGATCTCTACTCCTCATTGCCCCCCTATGGCGGGGCCAACTATGGTTCCCGGACCTCCTGGCATTGTCCTACACCGATCCACTACTCCTACCATCTTACCCGATGCTTCTCACAGACCCGAAAGGGAACCCCCATCCCCTCATCCTCGAAGACCGTCTCACCCTGGTGGCTTGGACTCTTTCAGGGGAGCCTGGCAAACCAGCGACTTATCGCAAACAGCTAGAAACCTCATATGGTCACCCAGAACCAGGCGATGTTACCTATCAGCTTGGAATTCCTGGTCCTCTTGGTGCAGTGAACGGAACTTTGATCCATTTACTGCACCTATAGCTGCCATCCTGAATTTTTATCCCATCTTTTCTCCACGGGTTGCTCATACCGATCGCTTAACATCGTGCACTCCGGGATTTCGCCGGCTCACGTCCCGAGCTTAGGGATTCCCGTAGGGAAGGACCCGCTGGTATGCCGTCTCCTGAGGGGTATCCGATTGCAGAGACCTCCGGGACCCAAATACTCAAAACTGTGGGACGTAGAGATTGTTCTACGGTTCCTGAGAGACTGGCCGACAAACGACAGGCTGTCTCTCCGACAACTTTCAGCCAAATTGACCCTCCTACTTTGCCTCGTTTCTTTCCGTCGTGTTTCGGACGTGCGGGCCTTTGACATCGACGCCTTTTCGGTCTCTCCGGAGGGAGTTACCTTTCGGGTATCACGGCGTACCAAATCAGACTCTACGTCGGTTTTTTACCCTTTCTTTGCTACCGAACCCCACTGAGGGTCTCTACCTCGGGACAGCTACTAGTGTCCTGTGTTAGACCTCACGTTCCCGTTTCGACTACCACACTCGCCAGATGGATAAGTTGGATTCTATCACTGGCGGGCGTGGACACAAATTTTGGAGCACACTCAGTGCCCGGGGCGGCGGCCTCTTCGGCTTTCTCGGCGGGCGCTTCATTGGCGGATATCCTCCGTTCAGCAGACTGGTCGCAGGAATCTACCTTTCAGACATTCTACTTCCGTCCGAGTTCAGGTGCGGCTATGTCTCTTCTGCATCAGCGTTAAAATAGGAAGCCTCCTGTCGTGTGGTAAAATTGAAGATTATGCTAGCGTTAGTGTACTTATAATTTCTTCTTAATTTTAGTAATGACAGGAGGTGAGTATTTTCCCTTTGGAAGAGTGGATTCACGTAAGTATGTTTATCTCTCTATTGGGTTAATCTTATATCTATATTGATTACTCCTCATGTATTTGGGATTTGTTCTGCTTATGTTCATTATACATTAACCTATTGCTCTTAGTCTACCATTGCTAATTGATAGAGAGGCACCTACCGCAATTTAATGTTGGGTCATTACCATTACTGCAACCAGTTTAAAGACCGGTGCCTGACCCATTTCACGTTCTCTTTTCAGTTTAAATCCGTGATGTTAAAAGTTCGTTCTCAGGATGGATACCTTTGGATCAGCCTTCATCTTCTGAGGTTTCGTTAATCGGACAAGTCACCCATTGGTGCATGTTACAGGATATTCTGGATCAGCCTTCATTCCGTGAAGTTTCATTACTGAAGGAGCCACCCGTTGGTGCATGTAACATTTTGACTTTATAGTTTTTATTAGTTTCCTGATGTCGCTTCCGAAATCGGGGGAGGAGCCTCATCACTGTGAATACTATACCTCCTATTGCATTTTGATTGGTTATTGTTTTCACTTTTCTTTACTGCTATGTGGAGTTAGTAAAGAGAGTTATATGCAAAATACTTGCCTCCTGTCATTATTAAAATTAAGATTATAAGTACACTAACGCTAGCATAATCTTCAATTTTACATGTATATGCTCACACACAACTACATGGAGATCCTTGAAAATAAGGACATTAGGATAGAGAAGAGGGACAGATTGGATTTAGCTGCAACATAGGGACTGACCCTCCTAAATAGGGACACTGGGAAGCTATGCATTATAGAGGGCGAAAAAGCAAGTGTTCGTGTCATTAACGTGTGTATCAATAAAGATTGGCTTTACTTGAACTATGAACGTGCGGCCAGATGTTCACCGCGCATGCGCACACGAAATCCAATGGGCTGCCTCACAGGCGGTCACGCGAATGTTTGTGAAGGTGTCGCGGGAGTGACGTCAGCGGGGACTGTTGGCTCCGCCCTCTATGGCGCGTGCGTCACTTTATGCCTGATCTCTGACTACGTGCGGCCTTCCGCGGGACTTTTCGTTGCCCGGGTGATTGGTGGAGCGGCGCAGGAGGCCGGGCCCGAGAGGAAGTGACGCTAGACTAGGCGAGTTTACAAAATGGCGGAGGGCGGTCGATCGTTTTACGGTAAGACTCGTTTTAGGGGATTAATTAACGGTATTTGTGGACTCCCTCCTCATTCAGTGCTGAGGACTTCCCGTAATGAAGGCGGTCTGGTGGGGGTGGCGGGCCCGGTAACACGTGAACTCGGTTTATAAAGAGCCTATAGCGAGCCATTAGTGACCAGATAGGCAGACTGCGTGAGGTGTACATACAGGAGGGCTGCGAGCTCCAGGGACGATATTCTGTCTGTATATATGATTATTGTAATGCACACCGCATGGAAGAGTCCTATTCACTTGGAATTACTGTACACAACACGAAGGGTGGCCGTGTTGGTTTATATGGACGGCGTGAAGGGTGGCCGTGTTGGTTTGTATGGAGGGCGTGAAGGGTGGCAGTGTTGGTTTGTATGGACGGCGTGAAGGGTGGCCGTGTTGGTTTATATGGACGGCGTGAAGGGTGGCCGTGTTGGTTTGTATGGACGGCGTGAAGGGTGGCCGTGTTGGTTTGTATGGACGGCGTGAAGGGTGGCCGTGTTGGTTTGTATGGACGGCGTGAAGGGTGGCCGTGTTGGTTTGTATG